TAGTATTGCAGTTGATTTACAATTCACTACGTGTGGTGACCATAAGCACACATATGTGTGTATGTAGTGCCTGTTGTCCTGGTCTAAAGCAGTGTCAGCAAGTGTGTATTAGTTGTATCTGTTTTTTTTTTTGTTATTTGTTTTTATTGTGTCTGTATGTATTTTTTAAATGTGCGATTATTTCTATGTTTATTGATGTGTTCTAATGCGACTTTGACATTTACTGACGTGTTTATTGGTTATCTGTGTCGAATTGAGTGCGCGCTTGACCGATTAAATGACTGTGTCAAAATAGATGAAAGCAAAAAAATCGTTAACTTTGGCTGTACCGAAGCTATATATAGTTATATGTATCGCAGGTGCATTTCTTAAAGTGCTAAACTAAATCGAAAAACGTTACCGGTCGAAGATCAATGTGTATGGTAGCTGCATGCTATAATGATCCGATCTGAACAATATCTTCGGAGATGGTAGCTTTACCTTTAGAAATAATTCATGCCAAATTTTGTAAAGATCTATTGTTAATTAAAAAAGTTTTTCATACAAGGAATTGATTTTTAACGATCAGATTGTACAGCAGCTATATCTTACAGTGTAAAATTTCAGATTGATACCTTAAAAACAAAGGAACTAGCTCGCCTATATACAGACAGACAGGTGGTCATCGATATAGCTCGTCACGCTGATCATTTATACATATAAAATACAGGGTCTCCGACCTAAATGTTACAAACTTCGTAACAGGCTTAATATTCCCTTTTAATGCATACAAATCAGAATTAAGTTATTGTACAATAATTGACATTTTTTGAAAATATACTTTCAAATATACTTACAGGCAACAGTTTATTTTATACCAAATAAATTGTCATCTGCAAAATGGTTTCAAATGTGAACTCTATAGTTACAGTTATGAAATTATGAAAAACGTGATCCAATCGCGGATTCAGAATCACATCAACTTAATATTGTTTGAAAGAACGTCAAATATTTACGATTTCGCAAAAAAAAGTAAATTTTTCCGTCGTCGGAAAAAGCAGTCGGAGCGGTCTTTTCTTGCTTTTCGTTTAACTTCTGACAACCAGTAATTCAAACTGTCATTTTGGTGTCGTTATCAACACAGTATACGAGTAGAATATCGGTTTTGAGTTGCATAATCTCACTTGAAGTGAGTAGATAACCCAAGCAAAAGTTTCATATTTAACGAAATTATTTAGTTAATTTTATCAAAATCGAAGAATGATAATAATATTATCAAGGCACCGTAGAAACTTACTTTTTTTCTCAACTTAGTAAAATAATATAAGATTACCAGTATTCAATGGCTGTAATGGATACTGTGCGGTACTGAATACTTAAACCTTGTTTTGGTTTCAATTCGGTATTTGGGATTAACACTTAATTTTAATTTTTTAATCCGGTGCTTGAGATTAAAAATTAATTTTAAATTTTTCAATCCGGTGTTTGAGAGTAAATATTTATTTTTGATTTTACAGTTTGGTATTTAGAATAAGAAATTTGAAATTTATTTAATTCAGATTTTCTGGATTACAAACAAAAGAAGAAAAAAATTTAATTGAAATATTAATTAAATAAGTTTTGAATGCATTGTTGCAATACTGGTTACACCTGGGTATTTATTTTTTGTTTACAGACTTCTTCTTTACATAAGACAATAATTTATATATACTCATACATCATATAAATAGATTTATGTTAATTCTCATATTAATATATCATATAAACTGATTTATGTTAATTCAACTCGCTTGTAATAACTTTAAACTTAAAATTTTAATTATATATTGAATTTCACAAAATTTCCCACCAATTGCATTTCATTTCATCTGACATGTATTGCCAGTTTTCGTGAACTTTTTGTGCACAAATTTCGCTCTATAAATTACAACCTGAAACTTCAGTGCGTTTGCACTAATTAGACAGCTCAGTATGCCGCGACGAGTAGTTCAAAGATGGTCAAGGCTTGCCACTGACACGCGAACATATAATATAATTTTCGCGTGCGCCTCATTACATTCATTTCCCTACTCCTACTGCTGCTAGATAAGCTTTGAAATACATACACAACATTTCGACCAGCGGGGAAAGAGTATATGGTTAAAATAAGTCAAATGGGTAGAAAAAAAAACGTCGTGGTTAGAACATGAAGTAACTCGGTTTTAACGTGACAATACGCTATTAAAGCATAAACTAGTACAGTTAGTTTAACTGGTCGCTCATCATTTCGTACAACCAAAGCTTGCGGTATTTACGTGTATTTTAGCAAATGTTTTTGAATGTGTGCGTATGCTTTTGGACAGATAGTTGTGGCGAGCGGTTGGTTGCTATCATTTATTGCATTATAATTAGAGTAATTTTTCTTTTAAAATAATTAGGCTAATGCTGTCCGTTTATGATTTCGTTTTTTTTTTTGCGAAATATTTCCGTTCTATTTAAATATGCTTTTTGCTAATTGAAATTCATGCTGTGAAATTACTTTTACTTTTACGGAAATTTTCCGTTTGGTCGGTGGCGTTGACTTTGACTCTGACTTTCAACTTACTTTACATTACTTTTTTACTTGAAGGTTTATTTTGAGTTTTTTTTCGTATATTATTTAATATTCAAGTGTTTGTACTTGTAGTTCTGGCTTATTAATTTTTATTCACTGTGGAATTTTTCGATGGCATTTTGTGGATGGATGTGGATTTTTCATAGCCCATAGTGTGCTTTTCCATGTAAATTAAGCGGAAGTGCTTTTTTATTTGCACATACACAAGCACACAACTGTATTTATGTATTTCTGTATTTATTTATGCATTTATTTATGTATTTATTGCTTTATGGCCTTAAGCCGCTGGCATTTTTCAGACAATTTCACACGTACTATAGTCAAGGTCGTCCAATACTTTCGCAGCGTATTTACATTTTCACGCTTCATTGCAATTTTATCGCGTTTGTGCTTGTTTAAAATGTTGCTTTTAATTTATTTACGCTTTCTTAAGCGCACGGATAAGCAAACACATACATGTATTCCATATGTATATATATATATATTTAAAATTATTTAATGCACTACTGCGCGGCTGTCAATCGACGTGTCATAAATAAAATTACTCCGTAATAATTTTTATCGAATTTGTAGAAAAATGCAAAAATAAAAATTAAATTTTCCGCCAGCACTATTTCTTCGATCGCCACGTCGTCGACTCGCGTTTCACAATGAAACCAATTCGCCGAAAGTATATTGGTTAAAGCGAAAAATATTGAATTTCACTTTATTGTTATTGTCTTTTTATGGTTTGGTAGTCACTATTTTGCCTCTTCGGTGCATTCATATATTTACACACACATGTACATGGTATGTGTGTATTTAAAGGTAGGTGAAATGCTGGAGTGGTGAGCATTGCGGTTTCTTGTTGACTGTTAAGCTCGCGTAATGGGTTTACTGCAATCGATTCCATTTTAAGCACACATACACGTGTGGTTTGGCGTACATGTAAATTTGTATGTTAATATTTTTACAAATATATGTATATACTCATACACACATGTACAATTCTATCGTACATATGTGTTTGGTTTAACGCTTCAGCACGTTTGCCAGCTTGCGGCGTTGCTGCGTCCAACAGCGCACACATGTATGTAAAGCCTTTGCTGACATATTTCTTTATTGCTTTCTTTGTCATTGTGGCACTAACCGGATTAAAAAATTGATTTTTAATTTTTATGACAAGTTCAACTACGCCATGCTAGCAATAGCGGCGACGCTGCAGCCAATTCGTACTGTGTGAACACAGTATGTGAATTGCAAGCGGTTGGCCACTTGGCATTGTATGCAGGTTTTATATTCACAGCTTAGTGGGTTGAGGTCAATTAGTTGCTGTTTGTTAGATTAAAACAATATTGTTTGAATTCAGTAGAAAAGCAGCAACCATTTCGTTAGTAATGTCAACAGCAGGTGTTGAATAACATTTGAATTATAAGTGCGACATGGCGTATGAGTGACAAGTGCATTATACTATTGGACAGTACAAAGGTACACAAAAGCGGTACAACTCAAAATGGCAAAATGGCATTGGGTTTCTTCATCTGAGAGAAATATATGCTGTTGCATATATTTATGCACATCATCTAACTGTTTCTCACTAATTTTTGGTTGAAATATTTGTGGCATGAGCATAAATTTTTTTAGTATATATGCCCGAACTGGTTCCATAGTTTTTGAAATATCTTGAAATTTTGCACACCTAATTTTCTTCACAAGAAGTTGCTCATTTGTCAGAACCGTCGATATCGGACAAATATATCATATAGCTGCCATACAAACTGATCGGTAAAAATTAAGTTCTTGTTGGGAAAACATTTTTATTTGTTGAAATATTTTAACAGAATGTGTCATGCCTTATTACTGAAGGCAATGTCACAATCTCCGAAAAAATCATTCAGATCGAACTGCTATATCATCTAGTTGGCATACAAACTGAGCGAGCGCAATCCAGATAAATATCTTTTTATACTCTTATATGCTATAAAAAATGCACCTGTGCAGGGTATTATAGTTTAGGTGCAGCTGAAGTTAACGTTTTTTTTGTTTTATCGTAAGTTTAGTAGAAAACTCCTTACCGATCAACGCTATTCTAAAATTCTAATTTAAAATCCTTATATGTCTCGCAAAAAATATAATAAATGTTCTTAACCATTTGTTAAACGTAACTCTATTCACTTCAGAAAAATGTTGAAATAAACCATTGAGTTTCTTCTTGATTCTAGAAGTACTGGCTATAAAACAAATAAGTTGGTTAGATTGTGAAAATTTTATATTAGTGCACACCTGTGGTACTGCCAAACAAGAATGAAAAGCAACACTCGATATATCGTAAACACCACAAGCAATGAAAATATTTAAATTAATCTCTTCAGAACTTGCATATAGTAAATACATCTATTTTTGCAAATCCAGATTAATGTAAATTTGTGTGTATTCATTTTCTTGCCAGCAATAATGTCAAATAAGTAAATTTGCTTGAAAGATTGCTCAAAATCCAAAACGCTTCTTAGAGGTGCAACGTGGCGTATGAGCAACAATTAATTAGTAGCAAATAAAGTTCACACGAGAAGCACCTGTAACACTTTTATTGATCAAGTAACTGTTTTGAGGCACTTCAAAGTACAACAATCAACAAAACTACAAAAACTTTAATACCGTTTAATTAAGTTATATTTTGCCTGTGTAGAATCAAATGTCAAACAAGTTTTATGCGTAAAATTTTCGCAGAAATAAATTTCCCATCAAACACTATTTCCAGGTATACGTGTTGTGACTCGCTTTACAACTCGACGCTAACTAAATTCTACTAAATTCCTTTTCCCGCTAATATACTTGAAGCTAATGAACACGAAAAAAGGTTGAATATAACAATATGTCGTGTCCTTAACAGCGAGCCATTAACAACAACATGTCAGCTAATATAGTAATAGGTAAGTACATATAACATCTACATATATATATATATATATATACAATATATATATACGATTATAGAGTAATAAGTTAGACTGGGAGGGGAGTGGAAGAAATGGGCGTGAAATGACGCTGACCAAATGGTTAGCGGGCGCCAAGCGCTAATAATTGGCCCTGAATTTGTTAGCCTAAAATATTTTACTTAATGTCTGTATTTAGTTTAGTTGTTATACATATATTGCTGTTATATTTACATATTTTCGTTGACTGTTGATTGTGTTTGCTTTAAATGCCTACAAGCAAATCGTGAAAAAAACATTAATTTGCATTTTTTGAAGTTGCCATATGCACAAAATAAATCATAATATTGCCATATTTTAAATTCATATTTAGTTTGAATATGGTTGTTTTAAATGCCTTCAAACAAATTGCAAAGAAAAAAATATTTTCATATTATTTTTATTCAATTGCATTTTTCAACGTTGCCATATGGACAAACAAAATCATTGTTTATGGCTGCTTTAAATGTCTAAAAATAAATTGAAAAAAAAAAATAAATTTTAATTTCCATTTTTCAAATGCTGCCATATGGACAAAGCAAAGCATATTATTGCTATACTTTAAGTATATATATAAATGGTTTGTGGCTGCTTTAGACGCCTACAAATATATTACAAAGAAAAAAAATGATTTGAATGTTTTTGGCGTTGCCATATGAACGAAAGGAAATTATTATGTCGACATTTGAAATTTATATTTATTAGATTTTTTACATATATTTATATAAAGAACATATATTATATATATATATTTAAAATGTTTATTTAATGTCGAGCTGGTGTGCAGCTGTAGAGTTTTCGTTTTCAGAACACTTTTTATTATATTATTCTATTAATATTAAACATTTAATTTATTTAGTTTTCATTTAAGGCTATGACACTTAATGTTCCCAACTAATTGCAGATCTATTTCCAGCAAAAAACAACTTTGGCAACTCTTGCAATTTTTGTTTCGCTTGCGATACCTTTCACCTTTTGCTGTACGCCTACGCTGACCTTTTGGGCCTAAATGCTATTCGTTGTAATTCGCTTTTTATTTGCTTTTGTTTTTGCGCCCCGTTTTGCACTATTTACTTGTCCACCATAAATTTAAGAGTCATTATTTTGATGGCAATGGTTTAATGTTTATTTCAGTTGCGTATTGCCATTTATTATGGGGGTGTTTCCTGTCGAAATGTCAGTTGACATATACCAAAGGTTGTCTGCTTTCGGACATATATTTTTTGTGCTTCTGCATGTGTGTGTGTGTTAAAAAGGCATGTCATGCCTGATTGTTTGGCGACGCTGCTGCTTGATATTATTTACTTGTCAGTCTGTCAATTGTTTGTGTGTAGGTATGTGCGAATAGCGCGTGGCTTTACAATGGTCGAATTATAACTATTATATTCATAGTATATGTGTGCATCTATGTAACGTTTGTAACCTTGAATGCTGTTTGCGTTGTTGCATAAGCGTGCTTTGGGCGTTTCAATTAACATGTGTGTTGCTGTCGCAATTAATGTATATTGCATGATAAAATATATGGTTATTTAAATACATCCTCTTTAGTGTTAGCGGCAGTTTTTTTCCGCCACATGTTGCCATTGTTGGTCAAAGTTACCTGTGTGGCATATATATATATATATATATATATGTATATATCAAATGTGTGTTCATTTAATTTTTTGCTCCTCCTTGAGCATTTCTATTTACATTTCGGTTGGCATGATTGTACTTGAACTTGTCAACAACAGCAGATAATCGCCAACCGCTTTCGTGGTCGCTGTCATTGCCGTCAAGGTAGCGCTTACTATCGCGTTGGGCGCTTTAAAAGCCGTTTCTTTTATTTGCAAGCACATAAAAGTTATTTAAAAAAGTACTAAAGCCTTTCGCGTACAATGAAGGTGTATACACATGCCATATATTCATATGCAAAAATTGTTTCGAGTTAGTAAGTGTTGGCAAGTCCATTCTGTGCTTTTGTTTCTTTCGCCATATTCATATGACAATTGGCACTCAACTATGGTACGGTTTGGTTAGTAAGTGCGTCACGTTGCCATTTGTCTTCGTGGCCGAGAGGCTTAATATTTTCATGTGCATATGTGTGTATACACATGCGCCTTCCTTTGTACACACTTAAGCACTTAATGTATGCATACTTATTGGCGCATAGGCTTTGCTTGCATATGTTCGCTATTCAGCTCACACGTGGACCTATCATGAGCACTGCACTCAAGTGAATAAATAGCTCTATTTCCATTTCAGGCAGTTACTAGTGCTTCTAGATTTTATATATATATATCTTTAGATAATATAATTCTTTATAACTTGTTTCCTCTTAAAATAGAAATGCATAAATTCTCATTTTTGCTATGCTAAATGTGAAAGAAATCTTTGTTGTTGGTTGTACAAAAAAATTTGGTGCTCAGAACAACGATAAAAATACCTTAAGGGGCACACCTAGTGTGACAGTCTAAAAATGGCAATTTTTGTAAATTACAACAGAAAAAAATTGCTAAGTAAATTTTTGTCTAACTTTAAGGGTATATGTATTTATAAATATTTTGAGAAGACACAGTAAAATTTGTATAGAAAAAATTAAATATTTTTTTGCATTACACATGATTTTCAACGCCGCTAAAAAAGGATGATGCTGCAGTGATTCTCTACTAAAAGCTATTGTCCGTACAATTATCCACAGTCGAAAAAATACACAAATTGACAAAATATCGGCAATTAAAAAAAAAAAACCCATTTTATCCAAAATTTTCGTCGTTTTTGACCTGCCAATTGTTCAATATCTGATCATCGATTTAAAATTTTAGTCGGTTATTTTTAAACCTATTGTATTAAAATATGAAAAATAAATCGATTTTGTTTTTAAATTTCACACCTTAAAGTCAAAACCACTAAGAGTCATTGTTGGTTTTTTATTTTTCAATAAGCAGAGGCATAAGTAATAGGTGATTTTTCTGATACTCAATACGGCTGTTTTGAAAATGTTGCAATGTATTTCAAATACCTTAAATTTAATACCGATATTTTAGTATAGAATACTTTTTTCTAAATATATATTCGCTAAATTTTTCCAACAGGCGAAAGCCAAGCACAAAAATATTTCGGACAGAAATTTATTTTACACCTGTTTAGTCCTTCTCCTACATTTATGTGTTCAATTCAATTGATATATACGAACCAGTTTTATAGCCATATTGCAATAATTTGTTTTACATATAATTTTGTTAAATTAAAATTTTTATGGTCGGTGGCAAGCATGCAAAAAAATTTTCAATTGTAAGCGCTTGAAAATCCTGTCAGTTTTTAGTGTATTTTTATTTTACCCATTTTTTTTATTTAAAATTTTTTAGCAGGTGGCAACCTTCTAACTGTTGAGTATTGTGCCAAAGTATAAAAAGCTACAAGTTCCGCCTTCATGCCAGTGTCAATGTACACTGCATTCTTCAAAAACCGAGTTCATACTTAGCATCACATTCAGTTACCGCGCTACAATATGACAAGCGAATGCGTGTGAATTTCAAAACCCTCTCAATGGCATTCAAAATGCGTGTTGAGATTTTATAATTTTAATTTAACTGGCGTTTAGATGTATGAGTCTATAGCGATGATTGAAATATTTACACACACACACACTCATATGTATAGCATATATTCCTCTAGTCACACATACATATGTATGTACTTGTATATTAAACATATATCTACACAATAACTATATGTCCACTTCGCTATGAGTATTCACACAAAGTCAAAAGCTCAGAAAAAACATTATAAATGGATATTAATTTACCAATGGTTGATATAACAAAATATTGCTCTAAGTAACTATTATTTTTAGTTAACTAGTCTATTTACAGGTATTTATGTCATATAATTATGTTATTTGTTAAAATATATATAAATAATATGTTTTGCTAATGAGTTACTGTTTATCAATAGAGTATTCGTTATTAATTAATTAGCTTACAATTAGGAGATTAATACAAATTCCGTCTTGAGTAAACTCGGTACTTAATACAAAGTAACTATTTTATAAAAATATACGAATAAGGTAAATATTTTTATTTAACCTACCTGCATCGTCGTATCCAATATGATATTACAGCGATACCAGCTATGACAATTGCACCCAAGGCACACCAAAATATGGTCTGTAAAGTAAATAATAAATTTGACAATTGAAAAAATATAAAATATATGAGTGATTAATTTTTGTATGTTTACTTTCTTTTATATAAAAAAAAATCAGCGGCAAAGCCTGAAGCACAGATGATGTAGCGTATGAGCAACTTTTCGAAAGCAACGACTTTTGTACATATTTCTTTAATCGTGTGTATTATTTACCATTTAATGACATTCAGTCTGAATAATCGCCAAACTCATCAACAAAATGAGCTGGTGTCTCGAACGACATGTTACTCTTATGTGGTTGTGTTTATTTTTGTTACAAGTGCAATTGCAACTGTGAAGTATTATTTTCATGTGCGTTTACTTTTTCAGCATTGGTTGAAAACTTTAATTGGAGTAATATTTCTTACTGCATGAAATTCAATAGTGGCAACAGGGTCGCCGATCCTTGAAATTGTTATGCGAGTATAAATATGAGTAGTCCTTAACCTTGCAGGTGTTTTAAGTTTGTAATTGCATTTTGCAATTACAACTACAAGTAAATGCATTATTATGCTGAATATGTAACACAATTTACTTGGTAATATAATATTATACATGCTTTTTGGCAGTGCCGCTTTAGGGAAGTCACTTTCTATTAAGGGGAACTAACGAGATTGGACATAAAATACCTCAGCTAATTTGTGTTGATTTCAAGGCGCATTACAGATTTGTTAGATATAATGTAAATATAAGTGAAAGTAGTATTGCTCATACGCCACGTTGCACACAGGTGTTTCGTTAAGGTTTTGTACAAATAGTTTCATATAAAAAATGTTGAGCTCGTTAATTTTATATAATTTAGGCTATATTCTACTTGCTAAAAAATGTGAAGATTGCGTTTAGAGAACCACTAAACTTGATCGGGCTACTAAATCTAATAAGAAAGCGGTGCAGAAAGTATAATTTATTTGAAAACTCGGTGCATCTACACAATTCCTTACACCTGAAATATGTTTCTGAGGTTCAGTGGAATGTACAAACCATTTAATCATCGTTACTATTAATTACAATTTCAATTTAATATCAAATAGTGATAGAGAAGATCAGCAGATTATCTTAAATATAAGGTCTAGTAAAAACAAACCATTATTTTTGCATTTTGAAGGTTTTATTTAGCATATTTAGGAGCATCCGATTTAGGTCAAATATGCACTGCACTATATTGTTCGACTGGCCGCTTTGTAGGTACTTTCACAATGCCAGTCTCATAGAAACCCTAGTCCCTACTGAGAAAAAACTGGGACAGTCGATTTTCACAAGCTTCCCTTGAGGTGATATTTGCATCAGTAAAATCATTCGCCATAGACAGGAATAGGTAGTAATCACTTGATACCAGATTCGAATTAAAAGTTGGCCGTAGGAGAGCAAAGAAAGAAATGAACTATTTAAACCCAACCGCTAACATTACAATTATCGCTAATTAACTGTAAACTACATAAGTCACTCAACGCAGGCTTAATATGCTCTTCTGTGGCACTACTGGCAACGCTTGTCTGCCAAGAATGAATGTAATTACAGCACACCCCTATTTGATTGTCATCAATTGTGCACGCTAATGACGCCTTAATATCTCAAGTCTACGGCGCATAGAATCATTTAGACAGCCGCCTGCTGTCATTATATTGCAAATTGATGACAATTTAAGCACGAATTCTGTGCTGGTTAGCATGCAAGAATGCAATTCTTTCAAGCCAAGTGAAAAGTTTTTGGCATGGCACACTCGCAATGAGTTGGCGAAAACTGAAACCACATAACGGGCAAACAACAAATAATTCCAGCAAACAGTAGTTAATGGACAACATTTAGGCAGATTTTGCACATTGCACTGTAGCTGACGTTTTCGGTTATCTTTTGGCATGCATTCGCTTTTCCTACGACTTTTAGATTTTTCAGTTGTATTGGCATGCTGCCAAGGTGTACAAAGTGAGCGTTTGGTTGGCTATGTGTATTGACTCAACATAACGGCACAACCAGAATACGTTAGAATGCAAACCAAAAATGAACTTTCAAGTGACGATTGATTTTTATTGTTTTACAATTGTATGGAAAATTATGTTTTTTGGCAGTCAACAAATCAGCAGTATCTCGGTGTGGCAACACCATGTATCCGGGTATTGATGTTAACCAAAAATTTACTCCAATGCATACATACAAATGCTTGTGTATATGAAACGAATGTTAACAGTAACATCATCTAAATATTTACATTTGACGGATAATACATAAATACCTATGTGTATTTGTATTTGTAATTTATTTGTGTTTTGCGTCTAATGCGGACACGAGTTATTGTGCCAGTGCTGCCATTTAAACCGAAAATTGATGATATTTTTTTTTGAGACTAAAATTGACTCTCAATTTATGAAAGAAAGAACAAAAAAAAATGTTAACTTCGGTTGCAGTGCAGCTATAATACCCTTCACAAATACAAACGCTCCTTACGAAAACGTGATTCCGATCAATCAGTTTGTAAGGCAGCTGTATGCTTTAGTGATCCGATAACGGCGGTTTCGACAAATGAGAAGCTTCTTAGAACGAAAAGGATGTGTGCAAAATTTCAGATCGATATCTCAAAAACTGAGTGACTAGTTCACGTATATAGCTACAGGTAGGCGGACGGACAGACAGACAGATATGGCAAAATCGACTCAGCTCATCACGCTGATAATTTTTATACACATTGTATAGGGTCTCTGACGTTTCCTTTTGTGTGTTACAAACATCATGGCAAACTTAATATACCCTGTTCAGAGTATAACTGTGTTCTGCAAAAGTATGATACTGTAGTATGCTTCGAAAACATATGTAGTTTTTTGCTGAAAATATCAATATAAAACAAATGTTTTCATAAATTTGGCATTTGTGAAAACAACGTTTGGTTTTTATATACTAAAAATGCAATCTTTTACACTCTTATATAAATTTTCCATTCGCTTGCCAAGCGGCAACACTGAAATACCGTCGACAGCTAAGTGGTAATTCAGCTTCATATCCACAAGAACACACACATAACTGTTGCTACAGGAGTGTATTGCGGTTGCGGCCAATATGTGTGCAAATTTACTTGCCTTCTGCACCTAGTCTGTGCAACGGTGGTAATACTTGTGAGCAAATACGCCGTTATTCAGCGTTGTTCATTTAATCTGCCCTTGTATATGTTTATATGTTCGCGCGTTGCATTTGCATGCAAATTGTTTACCCTCACGTATTGTGGTTGTTCATTTGTACATGTTTGCTTTATTTAGTTGTTTGTGTTTCTTATTCATTAGAAAATTCATTGTGCATGCTAATTCGGTATTACCGAATAAATATAAATTCTAAAATAAATTTTGCGCATATAAGATACAAAATATAATAGATATTAATTTTTTTTGGAAACAATTCGAGCTGATTTTAATGGATAAGCGTATAAAGTAAGTTTTTGCGTTTTACAACAGAAAGATAAAAAAGATATGGCTTATAATATAATTTTATTTCTTTAATACAAATTATGTGATCTATTTGAGAGACCATAATAAAAAAAAAAATCTTAATAATATTTATAATTAACTTCGAAGGGTTTGGCATGACATTTGCCGTCTCGTGACAGGCTCATGAACACACTGAAATTAAAAAATACAACAAATAGTGCGGTTGTCTTTCAAATGGGTAAAATGCTTATAAATTAAGCTTAATTATTCAAGATTTCTTCTCGGTTATGAAGAAAACGCAACTTTAGTCAGTATTTATATTATGTGATTGTTATGCGAAACTCTAGAATGGTTGAACTCACTTTTGTTATTAGATGTGTTATGGTTAACAAAGTTTTCGTGTTTAAAGAAGATATTATAATTTTTGTGAGAGAAATTCCTCGCAAGTTCAACAAAAGAATCGAACATTTTTATGTTCTAATTAATCTTAATGTAGAAGTGAAGTGCTATCTAATTTAAATTGAACTATGTTAAATAGTTGGCATTTTTGTCGTTTGAAAATTTCAAAAATTTCAGCGAACTTCATTAACAATTTTTGAAATTTCAAAAATTTACAAATTTCTATATAAAAATTCTTTCAGAAATTATGACTGTTAGAAAGTATCAAAGAAGTTTAAGTGAGGATATAAGTTAAAATTTTTACTTACAATCCAATAGTGTGATTCAGCACGTTCTCTCACATTAACTTTCATTTCACCTTGATCGCCTGTGTCACAGAGTTAATCTAGAAAGATAAAAATAAATATATTATTTATTATTTTTTTTTTTACTTATTGCTTTTATACTTTTATAAGCGAGTAAAAAAAAATATTTTCGCTAGTAGCACGTGCGCGCAGCAGTCTGTTATTTTTGTTTTAAAAACTTACACAATAAAGTAGAATGGTTTTATTAATTAATACAATGCTTAATATTATACAAAATAATGAGAAATATACAAATTTGTTATTTTTCTTGCGCGAAATACACTCTTATAGGACGATACTACTAACTTGTTCTGAAAGGGCAGTCTTCAACACATATGTTGGTACGGATATGTATGTGCTAGAAATTGATTATTCTACATCAAAGAAACCTCTTGAAAATAAAAAATTACTTAAATTTTAAATTAAAAAGTCGACAAGGCGTTTTTAATTCTTTAATTGTTTTAATAAAATGGTTCCTAATTAAATTTTATTTTACGCTAAAAAGCAAATCGTTCTTTAGGTACACATAAAAGCTTAAAATTAAAGCAAATTAAATTTTTATCTAAAATATTCTACTATAAATTTAAGATATTAAAAACCCCTTAATGCCAAATATTTATAACATTTTTTTTATATTAAATGTGATTTTAGTTTTTATTTATAAGCCATGCTTTTAAAGCACCTATAAAACAGCTCCCTTTACGTTTCACACCCACACAAGGAACATTATGTGCAGGCGTAGCGCCAACTGTAGTCACGAGCAGACGCCCACATGCCTTACAATGTAGCTCAATTTAAAAGAATTGTTTGTAATTGCGGCACAGTTTGTTGCTATCATTTGTCACCCTAACCTGTGGGCACACGCACACGCACTGCTTGATTTCCACTGCAGCAGCAGCCCCTGGGATTATTGGGAAGCAGTCAACTTTTGACATTTTCGCAAAGCCTACACAAAACGCCATTCAGTGATGCCTGTCAAAATGTTATGATTACTTTTAAGTAATAAATATGTCTGCGGCAGAGGCGTTAGTGCTGTTTATCGACGAAGTTTAGGCATATTTGCGTTATTTTCATCTTTCAATGTGGAATTTTTGTGTGTTGAGATTCTTGGATTATTTGCGGTTTATCAAAGTCACCAGTAAAATGGTGTTAAAGCAATAATTTAGAGAAAATTAAGTCAAAGGCGCGTCATTTTTTTTTGATAAGTTGTGTGAAGTCTTTTCGTTTGCATGACGTTGTACTGGCGCAAATCTTTGATTTAATGGAAAATACTAATAAAGTATGCTAAATATTTTTAATTTATTAGAATATATTTTATAAACTTATCTAAGTATATAATTTGATTTATGTTCACATATATCACGCCTTAAAAATCCTAACATAAAATTTATTTTCTGATATTTTTATATAACAAAATAAGCAGTATAGTTTTCTTTTAGTAAGCTTTTTGAGGCTACAATTCTACATAACGTCTATAGTTTTCACAAGGGACTCAAAAAAAGAAAAGATAAATATGTGTTCAACCATCTACCAAGTGTCTTGAATAATACTGACATCAAGAAAGGCTCTTTACAACACAATTCACATACAATGGGCAATGTTGTATATGGCGTATGAGCAACTTTTTAGCAGCTATGACTGAAATGTTCTTTTCTTTTTATTTAAACTTTTGTACAAACAATAAAAATAAATATTAAGTGATGCGAAGGTCAAATGCATGCACATAAGTCTCAAAAAAGAAATCGGAAAGTAAAAATTTGCTTCCAAATTGTTGTGCTTTAATGTGAATACAGATGTTGATATGCTTGAAAATCTATGTAAATGCGTGTATATACGCATATGAGTTTCTAATGTAGCCGCTTCACTGCTTAACGTAATCGTATTAGCATTACTAAAGCTTACAGTGGATCTTCTTTTGAATTCATGCATTTGCGTATGTTACACTACTCAACAAATCTGAAACAAAATTTTGCAACTGATCTGCTAAGAAATCTGTGGGAGTATTAGAGGTGCCCTGATTACGAATTTGAGTTCAAAAATTTTCCATCACTGCAGTTATTTTCATAATTTAAGTAAATGGTGGTGGTTAGACCCCTACACCCCTTGGCTACAACACAAAAAATACTACGTGTTAGGAAATTTTGACTATCATTTACGGTTTTAGCAACCCAAAATTAGCAAGAAACAGCATCTAAAATCACAGTCGCAAAATAACTGTAAACTGGTGTTATTATATATCTGCTACTCAAATGTAGCAATAAACTCTTCTTATATGTATTTCATCTTTTACAGTATTATTGTTGTTTTTGCTGTTATTAGCAGTCATAATAGTATTATTGCATTGGACGACGCCAAAATCCTCTGACATTGGTCGCGCTACAGCTTCAAGTCACAAACACTCGTTTCTTTGTCGCAATTTGAATTTTTTGTTATGGTTTTGAAGAGTAAGAAAGCTGTCTTAAGCTGGCGAATCAGAAGAATTGCTGTGAAATTTATGTGCAATGTGAAATTTTGATAATTTGTTAGATGACTCGTGACAAATTGTAGTTCCAGCGGCTTTACTACATTTGTGTTTACAGCTGAGCGAACAAAGTTGCGTCAGAATAAATGTTTTGAACTTTCCTATTGAAGTTTTGCAGCTCATGCAATAATTTAATGTATTTTTAAAGTTTTTTGAACACTTAAATATGCATACGTTTTTTTGCTTTTGCAGAGCATTGTACCAGTTCGCTGTGATTAAGTTTTACTCTTAAGTTTTTAGTTTAAAAATTCTTTATCTTTACGTTTTTGTTGCTTAAATGTCGCCATTCACCTCAAAGAATCACAATTTCATTTTGATGGAAAGTTTGGTGAAATTTTCATATTTTAAGTGGTGCCTGAGGATGTGCACTCAAATAAAAAGCACTAAAGAGGAAGCATACATACAAAGCAATCATAAAATAAACGAAAACACAAACAATAATGTAGTATGCAAGTACTGAGTTGACTAGCGGCAAAATTGTGGTTGAAATGTGTGCCAAAGAAAGATGAACAATTTTAATTGCAAAGCAAAAGTTCAGAAAAAAGTAAAACGGAATTTACTATTTTTAGGAAATAAATATATTTAAGCAGCACTTTTACTTTTTTTAATTTACCTTTTTTATTTACCTTTTAACCACTACTACACAATTTCAATTTAGTACGAAATGGAAAAGCTAGGCAGCTGCTTAGTATTGCAAGATTTAAAAATCGTATAATTTAATTAATATTCATTTCTCATTGCATGTAATTCCAGTAAAACGCTTCAACTGCTTTAAGTATCTGCAAATAGCGGAAAACTGAAAACGTTAAAGAAATGAGCACAAAATCAAATATACTCCTAATACCATCACACTTTGAGTTCACTTACATGCTTACAAACTTATGTACTTAAATACTTATTTGTCTAACTTTCGATATGCTTTTACAAAAGTTGAACATCTGCGCGACACAAAAATTGGTATCTCTCAACGTAAGTTCGTAGATGCGCATATAAAAGGCAAGAAGGCAATCAAGACAGCTGCTACGGCGGCGTTTAGTAATTTTCTTGCCAACACGGTAAAGTATACGCCGGGGTTAATTCTTGGCGCAATAAATCGAAATGCACTCCAGTTGTGGAAAAACTTTCAGTGAATAAAGCCAAAAAAGTGCAATATGCAAAACTTAATAATTATTAAAATCAAAACACATAGACAAACACACGTTTGTGTGTGTATTATATGAAGTAATTTTTAAGGATAAAGCTTCTGTGTAATTTGATGTCGAAAAGTTCAAAGTGAAACTAAAATTAACTTTGCGCTTTCACTTTCAATGGAAAAATTAATAGTCAAAAAATATGTTGGTAATATATGGGTTGTAGCAGATAATTTCGTATTTCTATTTAAAATTGCTTTACAACTCGGAAAAAATACGTACGAATACCCGTCCCTAAAATATTTTTGCACTAATTTATTGTGGTTAAAGTATGTTAAATAATATCTTGTAAAAATATTTAATTTTTTTGGTCATTTATGACAATAATTACTAAGAGTGACCTTAGCCATGCCAGGCTATAGTGTCATGTTATGCTGTTGGTAACATTGCAGTAAATTTTTTGCATTATTTCTGCAAATTATATTCTGTTACCTGTGGCGGTCGTTTAATTCAGCTCTACACTAACAATTATCGTAAAGCTTTCTCACCTGAAGTGTTCAAACATAACTGCTTACATCCTCTACAACCATAAATTAAAATGTAACTACCGTTATATTTTCCACTTAGAGAATTTTGCTCATTGCTTACACCAACACGAATACAAATATGCATTTATACATAATGTAATAAACGAACTCGGGGACTTGTACATAAAGGTTAAATATTTAACGTTCCTGCGCTTTATTATTATTTTCACCCATTATTTGTTGGTAGTTGGTGAGAAGCTTAAGGTGCTTGTTTCAAGTGAGATGTGCTTACTTCACGAAAGTGAATGAAAAATGGCATAAGATAATTTGAACAAATTATATATAAGCTTCCACATTATTTCAAGAAAGACTTAGCATATGATGATTCTTCAATATTCCGCATTAGATGCGGCATACAATTCTTAAGAGCGACACACAGTGAGAGTAAAAAAATTTTGTTGAATATTTTTAACGGGAAAGTTATATTAGGAAACAAACTTGTGCCTTCGGGTTCGGAAATATTTGTGCTGATGCTTAAGAGAAAACCTGTTTCACCTATATTTAAATTAGTCAAAAATACAGCGTGAGATGAGAAGCTCCTGAGATACCACCGTAATCTTAAATTTAATTACACTGAAGGGAGATGTTGGAATGCTGGACTATAATATATGAAGCTACAAAAAGTCACAGAGAATCTAATAAAAAAAAATTCCGAGACGGTTACAACTTGTTTATGTTCGTGTGAAGTTCGATGTCTATATGCCAGTTTTTCTGTATTTGGCAGCTGTTTGCTTACGACGAGGCTTATAACAAGGCTATGAAAAATTGAATTGAGTGTTGGCATGCTTGTATTGGCTCAGGAG